TGCCTGACTTTTTCAGTTTAAGACCGATCAAAGGTTTTTGCATGCATAACCCATTAGTATAAAGCTGAAGTACATTAGTACAGCAACAATAACATCTTTATTTAATTTTATATTTTACTACATTTTGAAAGATTTTTAGTTTATTTTATGCATATAGAATGTTTTAGATGAGGTAACTGTTATAATCTTGTTTGAATGAGACTGGAGGCTAAATAAACCGTTATGTTTTCGAGTTAGCCTCCAGCCTAGTCATGTCTAATTGTAGGACAGGAGAGATGAAGGAAGAATTTATAGTGTACAGTTTAGTTTAATTTAAGGAAGAACAAAAAAAGTAACAGAAAAGTAATTGACTGTATCGGTCTCACAGTAAACAATGTTTAATTTTTTTGAAAATGCAAATACGCTAAGTTCTTTCAAATGGGTTGGAAGTTCTTTCCAAAGATCTATTGATATTTAACAAACGTAGGTTTCCGTTTATGGAGATAGTTATTTTGGCTTTTCGAACTGCTAAGCTCATGACGGTGCCCGACCTTTGCCTGTTAGTTTAGATATAACAAATGAGCCTGGGAGAATTCCATGCTAAACTGGTATTGGTGTTGGGAAAAACTTAAACGCTCGTGACTGAATTTTCTCCTTTACATTCTTCAATTCATAAGCAGCCTTTCTGGAGTCTTTTGCTCCTCCTCTGAAAACGCATTGCAGAAACTGAAAGATGCGACAGTTAAGATTTTCATGCAAGTTGGCATGTGCAAGATGCGTCATTATAAGAGATAGGAATAACATGGTATACGCTTTGACAGTTCCTCGACATCTCCAGCATAGGGTTCTATGCCGTTACTGCTCTAAAATAAAAGGTCCACTGGGGACTCAGGTGTTATATTTTCTGCCCTGAGTAATTCGACTTGATAACGCTTCCCCATTTTTATTCAATCCACGTAACCGAGCCTACTTATCATTATGGCGAACCTGCGTTTTTTTACAGTTTATACGTTTATATGCTCTCACATAATTTCCACAAGTATTTGAGGAAATTTGAAGTACTATTTGTGCCAGATGGTGCCTTTTCAGACGGTCAACTAGCTGGGAACACGTAAAACTATGGAGACGAAACAAAGATGTGGGAGGAAAACCTGCAAGGCAGCAATAGACACAAACAGAATAAGAGGAAAGATCATTAAACACAAAATAATAATAAAAAACGCAAGGCTTTCTCCGGTGTAACAGTTTCCAGTCTCAATCGTGGGAAAGATTGTTCTTCCCCCAGGCCAGTTGGATGATTTAGCGCCTAGTTAGACAGGCAGTCAATTCAGTCAATCAGTCAGTCAGTCAGTCAGTCAGTCAGTCAGTCAG